GGGGGGAGGGGGTCGGGTTTTAGGGTTTGTTGATGTGCACAACTGGTCAGTTTATTTTGTTTTGCTTTTGTGGTTGGGGTTTAGGGTCTATTTGTGTGTATTATGAGTCAGTTTATACTGTCTTGCTTTTTTTGCTGCAGAAGCAAACTATGCAGCAACACCAGCAGCAGCAGCAACACCAGTTGCAACACAAGGAGGAGCAACGACGCCGGCCGGCGTCTCTGTGTGGGATCGTCTCGACGCATGCGGTGTGGGGCCGCGAGGGGGAAGAAAGGGCTTAGAATCTTTTTTATATATTTATTATTTTAAAATAGACAATTAATTATTATAGAAGCAGCAAAGTAGTTTAAGATTTGGTGCTACTGTCGCAGCAGTTGCTGCTGCCGCTCCCGCTAGGACTGCTGCTGTTGTTGCAGCAGCAGCAGCACGAGAGGCGGCGCTCGGGCGGTCTGCGCGCTCATCTCTCCACCTGTTGCCGAATCGCGACAAGGATTACGGTTTAGGGTTTAGGGGTTTTGATCGAGATTTTAGGGTTTAGGGTTTGTGAAAAACGTTGGTGGCGATCCGTCTCATATGTGCGTGCCTCTGTCGTCTTCCGGACCGGTTGCTGCTGCTGTCGTTCGTGCTTCTGCTGTTGCTTCTGCTGCAGTAGTTGCTGCTTTTTCTTTTGTGACTGCTGCATATCTTGCTGCTGCATTTTCTGCTGCATAACCACAGAAGAAGTTTCGGCTTCTTCTGCTGCACAGCAGCAGCAGCTGCTGCAACTTACTGCAGCAACAGCTGCTGGCCCAGATACACCTCCTTATACCCCTTAATTTGCAGTGTGTATCTGTGCAGCAGCAGAAACAGCAGCAACATCAGCAGCGGCAACAGCAACAGTAACAGCAGCAACAACACCAGCAATGGAAGACACATCGTGGCCTTTCGAAGCGAGCACCTCCGTTAGCGGGGGGACCCCAGGAGACACTACATTAGGTGTCTCTTCTCTTCTTTCTTCTGATGTAGGGGGGGTCCTTTCTACTGCTGCTGCTGCTTCTTCTTTCCCTGCTTCTTGGCAAGACAATATACCTTCTGAGAGCGCATCTCTGGTTTCGTCCTCCACGAAGCAGCGGCGGCAGCAGCAGCGACTGCATGCAGATGGCCTCAACCCGCAACAGCAGCAGCAACTGCTGCTGATGTTGCAGCAGCAAAGAGCAGCAGGGGATGTAGGATCTCCTGCTAAAGGGAGATATCTAGGCCCAGTATTGGCATTCCTTGGGTCGTTGTTGTTTGTTGCTGCTGCGCTGCAGCTGCAGCAGCACCGGCTAAGGGATCTGCGGGGGCCCATGTTGCAGCAGCAGCAAACGGGGCCCCCTTATTCTGCTGCTGCAGTATTCAAGTGGCTTGACAGCCCCCTTCTTACTGCACCAGAGAATACCCCTGAAGAGGACCAAATCAGCTTCCTTCGACAGCAGCAGCAGCAGCAGCAGCAGCAGCAGGAACAACAGCAACAGCAACAGGAACAACAGCAGCAACAGTATCAACAGCAGCAGCAACAGGAACAGCAACAGCATCAGCAGCAGCAGCAACAGCAACAGTATCAACAGTATCAACAGCAGCAGCAAGACCCGCAGCAACAACAACAGGAGCAGCAGCAGAAGCAGCAACTGCGTGCAAGTCTTGAGGCATTTAGAGCAGCATGGGAAGCTGCTCCTGATGGTGCTCGCAGCATGCTGTCTATTTTTGATCTCGAAGATGGGGGGGCCCCCGGGGGCCCCCCAATGGGGCCCCCTCAGGACCCTTTGGGTCCTTTTGGGGAATATATTGAGTCCCTATTGAATGATAAATCTCCTACTGTTGCAGAGCAGCAAGACCCTACCAACACCACCACCACCACGAGCAGCAGCAGCAGCAGCAGCAAGATTAGGACTATGAATGTACTAAAAGGGGTACTAGATTCGTTAAGAGTTCGTATGGATGCACTAATTGAATTGGAGAAAATAAGTAAGGAGGCAATTGGTGTGGCTCTTCCCCCTGAGGATATGTTAGAGAGAGAGAAGGTAGATCTAGTCCCTTTTTCTTTCTTTATTGACCTACTTAGGAGTCCCTCTCCCTTGCTACCACCAGATGCACAAGTAACAGCACATGCATCAGCAGCAGCAGCAGTTGCTGCTGCTAATGAGGCAGCAGCAGCGGAAGATGCAGAGGGGGAAGGCCCTAGGGGCCAAGTACCCAGGGTACTATCTCTTGCCCTAGCTAGGGGGATACAGCTGCTAGCGTTGCAGGTGCATGCAGATGAGGCAGTAAGGACTGCTTTGGCAGCAGCACTAGAGGAGGAAGACAGCAGCAGCAGCAGCAGTAGTAGTAGTAGTAGTAGTGGTAGCAGCAGTAGCAGTAGCAGCAGCAGTACTGGCAGCAATGGGGGGCCCCCACAGCTGCAAAAAATTACGCCGGGGCCCTACACACTTCTTGATGAAAGTGCTAAAGGAATGGGGGCCCCCAAGGATGAGATAAACACGCAGGGCTTGCGTCACGTGCTGCGGTTGCTGCAGCGGAGGAGGCGTATAGGGTCTCCTGAAACTTATAAGGCTGGTACCCCATCTGCTGCTGCTGCAGCAGCTGCTGCTGCAGTAGCTAAAGAAGCAGCAGCAAACTGGAGTGTTAAAGGACTACTTGGGCTATACGTACAGCTGTGGGCAACGCAGCTGCAGCGAGCAGCAGATGTCACGCAAGCGCGACGAGCAGTAGAGGGAGCAGCAAGGCGCAGCATCAGCAGCAACAGCAGCAGCAGCAACGGAGTTGGTATGACCAGTGCTGGTTGGATGCTGGCAGCAGCTCTCCTCTAATTTATTTTGTGTCTCTTTCATAACTTGGGTAGGCATCTGCTGCTGCTGCTTTTTTTTTTGCTGCAGCACCAGCCCAACCAATCGGTTTTCTCTGCTGCTTCTGCTGCTCTTTCTGGTGCAGCAGCAGCGCCGCCGGTGTCCTCTGGTACAGCTGCCGCTTTTTTTGCAGGAGCAGCAGCAGCAGCAGCAGATCCGTTCCGCAACTTTTGTGTGAGGACAGCTGACTGTGCGTGCAGGCATACATGCATATTTGCATGTAATACATGAATGCATGTATATTTTTTGCCCCCTATATGTACATATGCAAGAATGCATGCATGCATGCATGCATGCTTATCTTCCCCAGCGCATGCATGTATGCATGGGTGCATGCTTGCTGTGTCTGTTATCCCACATGCGTGCATGCATGCGGGTGTTTGCGTGTACATACGAAGAGATATTATATGCAGCAGGGAATTAAGTAAATAAATGAATAAATACGTAAATGAAAAAATGAAGAGCGTTTGTTAGCTTCAGTGTATGTACACCTGGTGCGCAGTGCACCGCTGCTGCTGCAGCACCACTGATGACAAAAGGGGCCCCACACCCGGTGTATATATGTATTCTTTGCATGCACTGCTGCTGCTGCTGCAGCTTCTGCTGCAGCAGCAGGAGGCAAGGGTGGGGTTGATGTTTTATATGTTGTTGTTGTGTTTGTTGCTTGCTTAAGGCTCCTTGCATGCATTGGGGCTTTATTACGTTTGCCTTTAATACTACCGGTTTGAAGTCCTTCCTCGTTTTGCTGCTGCTGCTTCTGCTGCAACTGCTGCTAGTGGTGCCGCTGCTGATGTAGCTACTGCAGCTTTTGCTGCTGCTGGCTAGGGGCACAGATGGATAGGTAGCGCACAGGGAAGCCGCTGTTTGCAGCAACAGCAGCAACTGTTATCTGCTGCTGCTGCAGCAGATACGAACACAAGGCAGTGGGGTTTATATTAAACGAAGGAGGTGCCTGTAAACAGCAGCAAAATAAGGAAGTAATTTATATCGTCTTAGTGCACCTTCTTTCTTATTAAGAAGAGGAGATGCATATATACCCCGTTAAGTGGCTATATATATATATATATATATATATAT